CCTGCCATGGCCCTGGGTTGGTCTGTCTCTTGCAGGGCTGGTTGCGGCAGGCTGGGTCACGGATCGGAACCTGCTCGGAGCGGAGGAGTGGCGTCTGGATTGGACTCCAAAGGACAAGAAAGACCTGTAGCCCTGCCCCTGGCCCGGCCCCACCATCGGTACCGACCCCAACGAGACCAAAACATCCTGTGCCTTAGCGGGCGCACCCCAGGGAGCTACCTGGGACCAGATTCAGTCCAGCTCCATGTGGGACCAGAGTTACAGACACCACCCTGCTCCCCTGTACTACTTGGAAATAAAGTTCCTCCAAAGGACAAGAAAGACCTGTAGCCCTGCCCCTGGCCCGGCCCCACCATCGGTACCGACCCCAACGAGACCAAAACATCCTGTGCCTTAGCGGGCGCACCCCAGGGAGCTACCTGGGACCAGATTCAGTCCAGCTCCATGTGGGACCAGAGTTACAGACACCACCCTGCTCCCCTGTACTACTTGGAAATAAAGTTCTTATATATATATATACATGGACTAAGGGCTTTTCCCTCCTAGGGATCCAGGTTGAGATGCTGGGGGTTTATACAGGGATCCCTTGCCCAGCGCTGAGATGCAGCCACCTCTGGGGTGGGGCGCAAGGGCAGTTTATACAGAGATCCCTAGCCTGGGCTGAGATGCAGCCACCTCTGGGGTGGGGCGCAAGGGCAGTTTATACAGAGAGCCGTAGCCTGGGCTGAGATGCAGCCATCTCTGTGGTGTGGCGCATGGGTGGTTTATACAGAGAGCCGTAGCCTGGGCTGAGATGCAGCCATCTATGGGGTGGGTCGCAAGGGCGGTTTATACAGAGATCCCTAACCTGGGCTGAGATGCAGCCACCTCTGGGGTGGGGCGCATGGGTGGTTTATACAGAGAGCCGTAGCCTGGGCTGAGATGCAGCCATCTCTGGGGTGGGTCGCAAGGGCGGTTTATACAGAGATCCCTAACCTGGGCTGAGATGCAGCCACCTCTGGGGTGCGGCACGGGGGGGTGGATATACAGGGATCCCTCACTGGGCCAAGCTGCAGCTATATCTGGGGCATAGTTCAAGCCCCCACTGTGCATGTGTACGTGTCCAGGTGATGTCATGGTCCCACGGTGAGGGGTGATGGTGAGGCCATGTGCTTGTGCAGAGCCAATTTCGTGAGGAAGAGCCCAGCCCCTCCATGCTGTTGCATGAGTCATTGTGCACATGTCATGTGATGGTCATCACAGAGCATTCGCGGGTGGGAGAGACGGAGCCGAGCCAGCAGTATCCTTGCTGCCAGTGAGTGTTTGTCTGGGCTGGCTTTGCCGTGTGCGTGTGTGTGTGGGGGGGGTGATTTGTGCGTTGCCATTTTCTGTGTGATTCTGTGTGTTTTTCTCTGTACCCTGGTAGTGAGGGTTATTTTGTGTTTTTCTGTGTGTGATTGTGTGAGTCTGTTAGTGTTCTGTGTGTGTGTGATTTTGTGTTTGTGGGAATGCTACCCTCTGTATTGTAGTGTGTGTGATTGTATGATTGTTAGTGTTCTCTCTGTGTGATGGTGTGTGTGTGATGGTGTGTTTGTGGGAATGTTACCCTCTGTATTGTCATAGTGTGACTGTGTGTTAGGAGCATTCTCTGTATGCTGGTGTGTGTGATTATGTCATGGTGCGTGCGTCTTGTTCTGCATACCCTGGTGTGTGTGAGGCTGTGCGCCACTGTTGTTTTGCGTGCCATGATGTAGGAGGCCACGGGAGGATGTTTGTGTGCCAGTGTGTCTGAGCCGAGTTGTGGGGTTTGTGTGTGTGCACATACACACCAGCATCGGTAGGTGTCAGCTGTGCCTGAGAGTCTCCTTCCTACTACCAGTATGTGCGTGTGTGTGTGTGTTGAAAGGTGTCAAATGTGTGTGGTTTATTGGCACTGGTTGTGTGTTTTGCTGTCAGCAAGTGCGTGTTAGTGTTGTTTCCTGTGTGCAGAAAGAACAGGAAATGTCATTCATGGCTCTGGGGTGTGTGTCACATTACTGATGGGAGGGTTTGTTTCCTGAGCGTGTGACACAATGGCCAGGAGTCACTCTCCCAACTGCTGTACATCATTGTGTGCGTTTGTGCGTATTTGTGCATGTTTCCGGTGTTAAACTGAGTGGGAAGCTGTGTGTAGGTTTTCAGGAGTCAGACCCTAATCTCAGCTGTTGCATGTGTGTATTTTTGTGCATGTTACCCTGTCTGTGTGTATCTGACACTGTCTAAGCATGTGTGTGGGAGAGGTGTGTTACTCTTTGTGTGACACTGTGTGTTGTGCACAGAGACACCACGTATTGGTGTGCGTGAACTACACTGTACTCTAGGTGTATGTCACTGTTACGCTCTTTGCATTAGTCTGTTAGGGTATGTCTACACTACCACCCTAGTTTGAACTAGGGTGGTTAATGTAGTCATACGAACTTGCAAATGAAGCCCGGGATTTGAATTTCCCGGGCTTCATTTGCATGTTGCCGGGCGCCGCCATTTTTAAATGTCCGCTAGTGCGGACTCCGTGCCCGTGGCTACACGCAGCACGAACTAGGTAGTTCGGACTAGGCTTCCTAGGAACGAGGCGTACAGATAGTTCGGAATAGGAAGCCTAGTCCGAACTACCTAGTTCGTGCCGCGTGTAGCCGCGGGCACGGAGTCCGCACTAGCGGACATTTAAAAATGGCGGCGCCCGGCAACATGCAAATGAAGCCCGGGAAATTCAAATCCCGGGCTTCATTTGCAAGTTCGTATGACTACATTAACCACCCTAGTTCGAACTAGGGTGGTAGTGTAAACATACCCTGAGTGTGCTACAATTATTGCTCGCTGTATGTGTGTGTGACATCTGTGCACATGTGCGTCTCTGCATGTGTTACACTGTGCTCCCTGTGGGACACTGTTGTGTTTTCTGCCTTACCCTATTGGTGTGGTAACAGGGTTACACTTGCTTGGTGTTTGCCATGTCTGTTCCATTTGTAGCTGCAACACTTATGGGTGTGTGTGTGTGTGTGTGTGTGTGTGTGTGTGTGTGTGTGAGAGAGAGAGAGAGAGAGAGAGAGAGAGAGAGAGAGATGTGGCCAGTGCCTGTGTGTTACACTGCACACAACACTCTTGTGTTCTCTGTGTATGTTTGTATCATGCTGTGTGTCACTGGGTGTAACTCTGTGAGTGGCTCTCGGGGAGGTGGCTGTCTCTGTCTCTCAGGTATCCTCTCCCCTGTGGCATCCCTGAGTCTGGGCATTGCTCTCCTGATGGGCATGGAGGGCCCTGGCCTGGCTTTAGGGGCTGCTCCTGGGGTAGAGTGACCCCTGAAGCTGGGATCATCCCTGGCAAAGGCAGCCTGTGCCAGTCATCTCATAACTTCCAGGGGTGCCTGCCCTGTGCTCCCCTCCCAGATGCCTGGGTCCCATTCCCTGTGTTGGTTTCTCCCCCAGGGGTGAGCTGTGGTGCGTGTGCGGTGCTGTACGTGTCCCTCCGGGATGGCCGTCCCTCGACTCTCCCTGCAGCGCCATCTGCCCCCGATTCCTGGCCGTGCCCTGCGGCTCCGCTCCTGGCAGGTCCTCAAGCCCCTCGCCCGTGCGGGGCTGCAGCCCACCAGCAAGGTCAGGGCATGGGGGTCAGAAAGGGGGCTGGTGAGGGGGAGGAAGGGTGGAAGGGATGGGAGAGGAAGAGGGGGGCACACACGGGGCT